AGTAGACCAGGTAGATTAGAGGCCTAAGACACTGCAATTTGATGTGTTGACTTATGCCACTTTTTTGTACCAGGATCTGCTAACTGTGGATTCGAATACCAGGTTCCAGGATGATAATGGCCATGAATCGTGGGAATTCAGACTCATGACAAGCCGATCAGGGCTTGCTAAGGGACACAACTCTGCTCACATCACTGCTTACTTAACAGTGGGTGAGTTGGGTTTAACACCGCTTTGAACAGTATTCGAATTATCGCATTGCGTCAGTATAATGTGCGAGGAAAGCCCAAAGTGATGCAGGTCTCAGACATTTTCTTTGGTGAAACCCATGAGCATGGGTATGGTGCAGACAAACCAAGAAATAGAATCAAGCGAACTGGGATTTGAACCAATCATAGGTTTCTGGCTTGTTCAGGGGATGCAACGCAGCTCAGTGAATTGCTATGCCTTAGATAACTGGGCCACCTGTGTCCTCCCCCTTTACAGAAAGCTCAAATGCCATATAATCACACAATCAATGACAAATCTCCCTTGAATAACACGTGTCCCCCATATGCCATCAACATTTAAAAATACCCAACATACATCGCCCATTATGTACATAATTCTACCTCCATTGGAGAAGAAAAGGTGAATTATATTTTTGAGTGAGTGAGTGAGTGAGTTGGGTTTAACGCCGCTTTAAACAGTATTCCAGTTATATCGCGGCGTGTCAGCTTAATGTGGGAGGAAAGCCTGAAGTGATGCAGGTCTCAGACGTTTACCACTTCGGTGAAACCCACGACCACGGGTATGGTGCTGACAAACCTAGAAACATAATCGGGGCGAACCGGGATTCGAACCCACAATCATAGGTTTCTGGCGTGCCCAAGGGACGCAACTCTGCACAGCGAATCGCGGCGCCTTAGACGACTGGGCCACCCGTGCCCCCTCTAACATGCATGAAATGTGTTGGACTAATCTGCGTTTTTGAGAAATTGTGAACATAAATGGATCATTAGCAATAAATTATCGCTGAACAAAAACATCAGTCAAACTTTCTGTGAATGGCCAAATTACAACCTGGATACATCCATGCCTCACTCTCCTTTGCTATTATGTGCGGTGAAGTCAGGTGAATGCTGTCTATTTTATGCTGCATGAAATGTTTACAAAAACTATGTTGTTGCATTGATCTGCATGTGGAACATGTGACATGCATTCTGCACATGTTTTACCAATTATTTGTCATTGTATGCGCACTTAGTTGAAAATAGTGATAGCATAAAATGCAGACCGGAAAATAGATGAAACACATGTTTTGAAATGACAGGAACTTTTTGCTACTGAGGTTCTGTTGTATATATATACCTTAATGTTTTTGGTTAAAGTTGATGGCAAAATTATTCCAAGGCAAATGAGATGTCAAATATATTAATTTTGCTACTTCTGTTGTAAAAATAATAATAAATGTTGTAAAAACTTGCGGGTGATAAGACATATATTACTGCATAAGTTTTGGGTTAATAACAGAATATTCGGGGCAGTCGGGTAGCCTGGTGGTTAAAGCGTTCGCTCATCACGCCGAAGACCCGGGTTCGATTCCCGACATGGGTACAACGCCCATTTCAAAATAGGTTTCTGATGTCCCCTGCATGATATTGCTGGAATATTGCTAAAAGCGGCATAAAACCATACTCACTCACTCACTCACTCACTCACTGTAATGTTTACGCGAACCTCAACAGTTGACAAAAAGTTTGACATAACCCCTGACCAGCTTGTATCTACTTTGAGACAATGATGAAACATTCTAGATCCGTGATGAGATAAGACATGAACACAGAAATTCTGCAGTAACATTGAGATAATGCATGGAGTGAGTGAGTAAGTGAGTATGGTTTTACGCCGCTTTTAGCAATATTCCAGCAATATCACGGCGGGGGACACCAGAAATGGGCTTCACGCGTTGTACCCATGTCGGGAATCGAACCCGGGTCTTCGGCGTGACAAGCGAACGCTTTAACCACTAGGCTACCCGACCGCCCCTGACAACATGTATGAACATTCTCCAGCTGCCTTGACATAATGTATGAACATTCTACAGCTGCCTTGACATAATGTATGAACATTCAACAGCTGCCATGACATAATGTTTGAACATTCTACAGCTGCCTTGACATAAATGTATGAACATTCTACAGCTGCCTTGACATAATGTATGAACATTCTACCGCTACCTTGACATAATGTATGAACATTCTACAGCTGCCTTGACATAATATATGAACATTCTACAGCTGCCTTGACATCATGTATGAACATTCTCCAGCTGCCTTGACATCATGTTTGAACATTCTACAGCTGCCTTGACATAATGTATGAACATTCTACAGCTGCCTTGACATAATGTATGAACATTCCACCGCTGCCTTGACATAATATATGAACATTCTACAGCTGCCTTGACATAATGTATGAACATTCTACAGCTGCCATGACATAATATATGAACATTCTACAGCTGCCATGACATAATGTATGAACATTCTACAGCTGCCATGACATAATGTATGAACATTCTACAGCTGCCATGACATAATGTATGAACATTCAACAGCTACCTTGACATAACATATGAACATTCTACAGCTGCCTTGACATTATGTATGAACATTCTACAGCTTCCTTGACATCATGTATGAACATTCTACAGCTGCCTTGACATAATATATGAACATTCTCCAGCTGCCTTGAAATTATGTATGAAGATTCTACAGCTTCCTTGACATAATGTATGAACATTCAACAGCTGCCTTGATATAATGTATGAACATTCCCCAGCTGCCTTGACATAATGTATGAAGATTCTACAGCTTCCTTGACATAATGTATGAACATTCAACAGCTGCCTTGATATAATGTATGAACATTCCCCAGCTGCCTTGACATAATGTATGAACACTCAACAGCTGCCTTGACATTATGTATGAAAGTTCTACAGCTTCCTTGACATAATGTATGAACATTCAACAGCTGCCTTGACATAATGTATGAACATTCTACAGCTGCCTTGACATAATGTTTGAACATTCTACAGCTGCCATGACATAATCAATGGATTTGACCCACTACTAATGTCATCATGTCCACACAATGTAAATATTTGCTCACACCATCAACCACTGGTTTGTCTGGTCCAGACTCAAGTACATCATTATATCACCCAAGTACTGTTGATTGATTGTTGCTCACACTATAAACCACTGGTTTGAGTCTAACTTGACTCAATTACTCAATAAAATAAAACAATATTCTCTCATACTTTGACTGAAATATATACAACCATCACCAATCACTTACTTGCTGGTTAATCTACTATATTTGACGTAATAAGCGCCCAGGGCGCTCTCAAAATTAGAAATAGGGGGCTCTTATTAGAATATTATTTTGGTGGAAAAAACAGAGTTGAAAGATAAATTTTGTGGTTTATGCTGACGGCCTGACTGTTTATATACGACAGATATATTTTTCCAGAATTTAATTGCCCATAATTAAGGGTGCATATAACACACAAGTGCGTATTATACACGAATAAATACGTCTTGCGTACATTGATCAATCGGAAGGGGTGCTAATTGGGATTGTTCACTTGCCAATATATTAGCAAATATCGCCGATGGCGCTTATTAGAGCGGGGCGTTTATTACGTCAAATACGGTATTGTAGAACTCATATTCAAAGCACATCCCAACACAAGACCAAACAAACATTCAAACACTCCAAAAAAGTGTACATTGTCAAAAACATCCACATGATTACCAAATGTCTGTTTTTTCTCCGACTGCTGGTGTACCTTCTCACTGTGGAACATAAGGTCGTGGTCTTGCATACAACGATGCAGGGGATTTGTTAACTAAACACACCCTGTTGACATATTTGTATTGAGTCATATATAAATGGTGTCTGGTGAAGCTTCCCTGCACCCGAATGTAATCTGATCAAAATCCATCTTATATTTCTGGGACACAGCATGTGCATGTCTAGTCCTCCCAACATAAATGTCAGCTTTAATTGATTCTCTTGTTTATCGTCTCTGTTTAGATATCAGTTTTATCAATGACTGTAGCCTGATCTCTCATAGCTGAATTTATGAATATCGTTATATATTTTTTTCACTTTCAAATGAATGTAGTTTTGCTGCATGAAAGATCTGGTTTGATTCAAGGATTAAAATAGTAATGATACCACTCAAAAGAATTAAAGGATGACACGCTTTTTCCCTATTACTAAATTTAATCTTTCATGCCATGCCGGGGCGGTCGGGTAGCCTAGTGGTTAAAGCGTTCGCTCGTCACGCCGAAGACCCGGGTTCGATTCCCGACATGATATTGCTGGAATATTGCTAAAAGCGGCGTAAAACCATACTCACTCACTAACTCACTCATGCCATGCCCTCGTTTCTTTCATGTTTCCACAGTAAATCTGTCATGACAGATAAACTATAATAAAATGAAAGAACTGGGTGGTCCTTAACTTCTTTTGAGTAATATATAAATAATACATGAGGGTAAACAGGGTTTTATTCAACTGAGTGAGTAAGATAGGAATAAGCTGTGAACTGCCACAACAGGCCACAAAGCCATTAATTTGCTCAGTCAGAATAAGTCCTTGTGGGACATATCTTTCCAATGAAGAAAAAGTACATAAACCTCATAACCTTTTCTTATTAAAAATCCTTCGGTGTTATGTGACACTGTGGTTCCTATGTGCATGGACGCTGCCATTCATATAAGCTCTGTGGGTCTTACCAGTGAAGCTAACAATTACAGAACATCATTCAGGACTTGTACCGTTTGTTATGTAATGACATGTAGATAGGGAAAGGGAATTATCATACATGTTTTTATTTTTCAATAACTACAGAATCGACAGGTTCTTTTCCCAGTTTGGCATTTCTATATTGATCAAACTGAACATGTCACAACAGCCTTGCTGGCCACACCGTCCAAACGAATTACCTTCTCTGAAAGCAGAGTAGTTGATTCTACTCTTGCATTCCACCCACTTGAGTCGGAAGCGCTCATCATACTTGTCAGCTATCCTCTTCCAACCCAGGGCCAGCAAAGGAGCCTCCACTCTGAAACAAAGGCGCCGAGGGTTAGACTGTTTCTGTTGGTGTGGGATTGAAAGGTATCAAGTGTTAGACTGTTTCTGCTGGTGTAGGATTGAAAGGTATCAAGTGCTAGACTGTTTCTGATGATGTAGGATTAAAAGGTATCAAGTACAAAATGTTCCAAATTCATGATACACCCCATCCCACAACACATATTTAGCAGTTGTTAGTTTGAAATTTTGAGAATTAGAATGACCAAACCCTTTTTTCATTTTCAAATGCCCATATGTATTTGTGAATCATACTGTGAATTAGGGGAATTAAAATGTTCATCATTTTCCATTGGTTTAATTGTCATGATTATTTGTTTCAAATAATAAACAAAAGCTGATTTCTAAGTATGCCATCTTTGCACTATGAACATACTTCAAATGTGCCATTAAGATTTGTAAACATACAATCAGCACTAAAATCGAAAGAATTTCAAACCCCGTTCATAAATACTATGTTTCAATTTCCAATTATTAATTCTGAATTCTAGGGTATCACCTCTGTTCAAATCATCAGATTAATATGGTCATGTTAATTTAAAGGTGTCAACAAAATATGTGGATAAATATCGCCAACTACTTTTGATCCTAACTATCACCTTCATCTCAGCAAGGGGCACCAGGAATTAGCTGACAATTAATGAGAGGAAAACTGATAAAAGGAGGAAAAGACGAAGAAGAATCCCGAGCAGTAAACAACCACAACCATCCCACATCACTTCCTCCTGACATGGAGGCTACATCTTCCTGGGCTGGGGTTTTGATTAACTGCTTCGTCAGAGGACGATGACGTGTACAAAATGTGTTCTTTGTAGGAATTGCATGTCATTCTTGCTCAGTTCAGTTACAGCCTTGTGTGTTGGGGGTATAAACGTGCTAGGTTTGAAGGCTGTGTAGAGCCACGGTGAAGTCCTTGGTGTGACATGTACATGAGCTGGAAATGGGAGACGGACATGGGCGGCGATGTCCTGGTGCAGTGTTTCAGAGTTTACATGCTGTGTACTGACATTTTAGGACAAATACTTTTAGGACAGATTGACAGACGGACAGACACACTCACACGCATAAAGTCAGCAAAACTTTCTATCTGGCACACATTTAATTAAACACGCTGATATTCTGACGTACACCACCCACACCCACCGACACACTCACCCATGCGTGCGCACACACACACACAGACACAGACACACCATATAAGTGCAATAATCTTGAACATGACGTTAAACCCCATTCGAGCCTCATCCTCTTCATTGACAACACATGAAAACATAATAGCCTTTGTGTGGCACAAACTGTCAGTTCAGAACATTCAGTGGCTAATATATGACAGCTGTTTAAAAGTTGTATATTTGCACTCAAACACAGACACACACACAGACACAGACACACAGAAACATGCAGAAACACATACAGACACACACACAGACACAGACAAAAAGAAACACGCAGACACACATACAGACACAGACACAGACACAGAAACATGCAGAACCACATACAGACACACACACAGACAGACACACAGAAACACGCAGACACATACAGACACACAGACACAGACACACACACAAACACACATACAGACAGACACACAGAAACATGCAGACACACATACAGACACACACAGACACACAGAGACACAGACACACACACAAACACACATACAGACAGACACACAGAAACATGCAGAAACACATAGACACACACAGACACAGACATACAGAAACACGCAGACACACATACAGACACAGACACACACACAGACACAGACACACATATACACACACACAGACTGACAGTTAAACATTCTGACACAGAAATTCAAAACAGGAAGATTCACATTCAGCCTGACTCATGTGTCAAATGGACACACAGACATATATTTCCTTAAGCTAACAAGACACTAACAGACAACCATACAGACAGACAGCGTTCATCAGAGAGACAAGTCAATACAACAGACATTCAAGCAGACGTGAACAGCCAACACACAAAGACAGCGTTTTCCTCTGTCGTCATGGCTACCACTTGGCCCTCCTTAAACTGTTATCAAACCTAAACACATGCTGCTTAAAACCCTTATCTTAATCCACCCATCTCCCAATGCACAACAGAAATATGGTAAGAGAAGAAACTAGCATTTGAAGACCAGGCTATCAGATCATTAGATCACACTCCTAAAGCTTAAATTCACTTGCTTCGTTACACAGTGGAGACAGCTGGGGATTTGAAGTATTCAAAAATTCATTTCTCCCAAATACAAATATTAGTCAAGGTACTACAACCTCGGAACACCTGACTCAACTTGTTCACTCTAATGTCTAAATAAGGTATTTGCGGCGAGCTGCCCTATAGATGAGGGATTAGGATGAAGGAGGGGAAGGGACTGGAGGGGAGGGGTAGCGTGTCTTCTCCCCCGCACCCCTTCATCAGCCGACCAATGGGAAAATATGCCGCTGACCTATGCTGACCTACATCAAACAAGGTCGGGGTCAACTGAGAACTCACAGTGATGAGGCTCACACTTCATTTGTGGCGTATGTTTACAAAGTAGGAGTATACACCACCTGACAACTTTTTCAACGTTCGCGTCGCAAAGGTAGACGATTCACCTCACGTCTGGACATGGTGGGACCGAAAAGAGGCTGTGTCATCGTGTGATTGGCAACACCGAGGGAATGTGACAGCGGACGAAACTCTTTCATTTCAAAGAAGCCTTTTGAAATAATCCCAACGCCCATCTTTACTTATCTGCATATTCTGTCGGTGACAGTCGCAAAGGTCAGGGGTCGTGAGGCATAATTGTCCGTGCCACGTGAAGAGGAGGAAGATGGAGTAACATCTCCTTATAAACCACATTGAGAATTCCACAAATAAGTCTGTGAATGTTGACACAAGAGATGAATATTCTTGGGTTATTGTGCTCCCAGAGAAAGGGCTTCTAAAAGTATAGAATTATATATTTACAAGGTCCACTGTCTGTGGTTTTCCCCTCAGCTTCAGTGCTTGCTAAAGAAACACTGAAATAATAAGTAGACTGTCACATTCGAGTTTTTAAACAGTCCCACCACCCACCCAACAAAACTCAGGCTGTTTCCTGAGTCATGGAAAACTTTAGAATTCAAATTTTGGAACAGAAAGAGCCTATCCTCTCATCAATTTAAACTAAATTTCTAATGTTTTATAAATGGCTTAACATTCTGTTCACCACATTTGAAAAGAATATGAATATTCTTATTGTTGCAATCCTATAGCACAAGGTCACCCTAATGCTAGCCCTTGATAACTGGTCCACATATCAATATGCTTGTTGACATCTTTATAATCACCCTGACACCCTTTGAAGCTCCATAGTCATAAATTTGTCATGAAATATTTATGATTGATGCTTTATTATGCAAATTTATGATTACTGAAATGCAATTTTGCCAAGAAATACTTAACTTGGGGCTTTGAAAGCTATAACCAAGGTCAAATACATCTAACCCACTTAGAAATTCATTTTGAAGAGTTTGTGTTAATAATTGGAGTTACATGGAGAAGTTTCAGCTCACAATTCTGTGAAAAATAATCATGAAATTTTATCCGATGGAAGTATTTGTTGCCATATTAAAGGTGGTAAGTGACTTGAGTCTGACAAATGTATCTGTCGCCTAGCAAACAGTGCCAGTCGGGTAGCCGAGTGGTTAAAGCGTTCACTCGTCGGGCCGAAGACCCGGGTTCGATTACCGACATGGTTACAATGTGTGAAGCCAATTTCTGGTGTCCCCCGCTGTGATATTGCTGGAATATTGCTAAAAGTGGCATAAACCCTTACTCACTCACTAGCCAACAGGACTACTGTCACAGAATGTCTGACTTAGTTTGTTTCATTTCATTTGTGTCACAGAGTGTCAGCTTCATGTGGGATGAAAGCCAGAAGTGATGCAGGTCTTAGACATTTACCACTTTGGTGAAACCATAGAGCACAGGTATGGTGCTGACAAACCAAGAAACATAATCCAAGTGATTCTAGGATTGGAAGACATGATCATAAGTTTCTTGCACTGCTAAGGGACACAACTCTGCACAGCAACTTGCAATGTGTTTGATGACAGTGCTCCAGTATCCTCTAAAACAAGTGAAACTACATATTTGATAAGAATACATGAATCAGAGTTAGGAAAATATGTTTGTAAATAAATTGATAAACTAAAAACGTTTGATCTGATTTTATAAACAGCAGCAGATCTTGGCAGCCATATTGAATTTTATTAAACATATTTTTCTGGATGATAACAGATAACCTTTTGACACATGTCACATATTGAATGATCTGAATACTGAACAAAACACTGTTGTTCCTTAGCAAAAAACATCATTAATTAATGCTTTCAACTGACTCATTTTCTATATAGACATAGACATGTTAGCAACCACACCATTACAACACTGAAATAATGACAAGACATTGTCAACTCCCTTCCCCATCATCACCATCCATTCATTGTTTCCACTAATGAGATATTTCCATCTTTGATCTATGCTGAATATTATATTACTGTCAATTTGCCTGAGGCTCTGCAAATCTTTCATAAAATCCCTGACTCATTCTTGCTTCGACAAACAACAGTCTAGTACAATAAGTTCCACAGTCCTGGTGACAGTCCAACATTTACCGTATTCAGTCTGTGTTGTGCTCTGATCAAATAACCTCTCAAAATAAAACAATTCCAACTCAAAGAAATCCAGATAAGCAGTGTCTCTGAATAAAATATGTAACCAAAATTCACCATTACATAATCAATTTGGAGTTGCAAATGTGTCTCAATCTCATTAAAATCAGACCTCAGTTCTCGCTACCGCTAAACAAAGATCTGAGGACATCCCATTAGGGGTCACGTCAGAACGACCTTTCATCCGACCAATCAGAGCTTCGCTTACCAGATTATGAAAGTGACAGTCGGAATGTGATTTCTAATCATCCAACCT